CTTTTTAAATTTATTATAGACAAAGTCAATTTAATACTAGCTTAGCTTCCAAACAATAAAGCCTATAGCCCTTTAGGCATTAGCTATAAAATGCTTAAACATGCAGGCTCACTATTTCTTCAAGCAATTACTGCTTTATTTAATAAATGAATTTCTATAAACTATATATCTAAACAATGAAAAAAGAGCAATCTTTAAAAAACTAAATTTTGATAGTAACCTTACCAATACCAGACCTATTAGTCTTTTTGAGCATACTAAAAAAATATATACCAAATTGCTCACAAATTGTTTAAACTATACTTTTACAAAATTCAAAATACTTTTACCATACAACTATATTGCTCTTCTAGGAAATAGTACTGCTATTTTTATTTATATATTTAACAATATTATCAAAGATGCATGCTGCAATTCCAAAGAATTTTGGTTTATATATTAGTATATGAGCAAAGCTTATAACTCAGTTAACTTGAACTTATTTGTAAAAGCTCTTAACTATATCAATATGCTATCCAAACTAATTAATATACTTATTAATATACTTACAAACTATTAAAACAGAGTAATTACCAACTTTGGTTTTACTGATTTTTACTCAGTAAAAAATAGAATAAACCAAGATGAAACTATTACTTCTCTCTTCTGGTAAATATACTATAATCTACTTATTTACAAAGTCACATTACAGTACAAAGGTTATACAATATCTACAACATAGTTAACCAGCTTTTCCCTACTCAAAACCCAAAGTCTCAATACATCTATCTCTGTTTTAGCCTATATAGATGATATACTTTAGATATCTCAATTTAAATTAGAACTTGAACAAACACTTCAAACTGCAACATCCTTTTATCAAATGGCCAATATTTAAATTAACTTTTCCAAATCTATCTTTATATATAATTAACTCTAAACTACTATTTAATTTTTTAATTCTACATTTACATCTATTTCAGTTAATCAAACTTTTAAATTCCTTAGCTGTTAGTTTATATTTAATAACAAACAAACTGTACAAATCAAACAAATTCAAAAAAAAACATTTCAACTTACAAACATTGCTAGTACCAAAAAAATTACAGATAAACAAATAATAGATATTATTAATATAGTTATTATTTCTATACTAAAATACTAAATATATAATATAATCCTTCTTTATTCTGTATGCAAAGAATTTTAGCTAAATATCTAACTGTAGCTAAATATAATTCTCATCTAGCTCACTCCATTCTAGACAGCACTATGCTTAATCTATTTTTATATAATATATACAATATCTGGAATATTTAACTTCAACATCATATATTTAACTTCATTTTACAAATTAACAACCCTTATTTACTAGAAACTTCTATATGTATTTGACTACAACAATTACAAAATAATTTCTGGTTAACTACAAATATATTTCAACATTCTCAACTTAACATTAATGGACCTAATAGATATACTTTAAACTTCAAAATTATCCAACTTATTATACATATTAACATGTCTATAACAGCTAATAATAGTGTATCCTGGCTAATACTATACAATACAATCTTTAATTATTAGAACCAATTGTATTCTCTTATCCTCAATATACTACTTTTAAAAAACAATTTAGAAAACTTAATATCTTATATCTTGAGCAACTCTGCATTGCAGATAATACTACCCTATTTTAATAAAATTATCTCTTATCTTACTTAGTATAGCTACCTAAAGAACATAAACCATCTTGGTTTATATGTTTAGAAAATACTGTAATCACTAATAACAGTTTCAAAATACTACTTTTACAATACCAACAAACTGAACACAATCCTTTTAACTACAACTTCTAACACATTTTCAAAAGACTTAAATTCTGGTTACTTATATACAATAATAATATTATTATTATTGGCAAAATTTGCAGAAATTTTAAAAATAACAATTAAATATCTATTATATACTTAAAAACAAATATTAATACAGAACTCTCTATTTACTATCCTCTTTTACCAATTTAATGCTCATCTTGTACAGGTTGCTATTTTAACTTCTACAAAGTTGCAAATTTTTGCACAATTAATATATCATCAATAATTTCTATCCAATTTCTTAAAAGAGTCTTTTCTAATGCACTTAACTTTAATGCAAACTATATTGATCTGATTTATTTAATTGCAATTAAACAATCATTATCTTTACCTTCTGCTCCTACTATTTACATTTCTAACTCCCTTATATTAGAAAGTTTTAAGTAAAAAGAAGTCACAAGTATACTTAAATAATATTCTCTTACTAATACAATACAAAATATATTTAATTCTTATACTAATGCTCTGTAATTAACATTAGTACAGATCAATATATAATAGATATTGAAGTTAATAATCTTATTTACAAATTTTTAGCTAAAATCTATTTCTGGGCATCCTCTTACAAAGCTGAACTAATGTTAATTCTTTTAGCTATTTTAATTACTCCTTACAACTCAACAATTAATATTTTTACTAATTCTTAGTTTATAATTACTAAATATTCTAAAATATATATTATTTTCTTAAATTTTAACAAGCTTTTTAAATTTAGCTTATGGCCCATATAGCATACTCTGCTTAATATTATCAAATCTTATAACCACCAGATTAACTTTCACAAAATACAAGCTTACTCTGATAACACTCTTAATAATTATTTAGCAAACTCATTAGTAAAACAGCATAATTGATTATCTATATTATATTTTAACTATACAAGCATCTACAATTCATATCATATAATTTTTTAGAATTAACATTTTATTGAACATCCAACTAAAAGCTTCATCAAAAATATTTATAAAGCCTACATCTTAGCAATATAACTTCTTAAAAACATAACATGAAATAGAACTTCTTGGTTTTTCAAATTGATTGAAGATCAACTTATTTATATTTTAATCATAACCAAAAACTAACATACAATGTTACTAACTTTAAACTTAACTAACTTAAATTATTTAAAATTAAAACCTTATTAAATAAACTTTCTATCTACACTTATTTTTACAAAACTTATCTACATACATTTTACAATGCTAACTGCTTCAACTGTAATCTAGCTAACTCTTCAATTTATTGATGTATATGCTCAAATTCATCACTTATCTCCAATATTATCCAAACTAACCTATCTGAATACATTAATTATACAGATCTCAATTTATCTATAAACTAACAAAAAGAACTTATTCACAAAATTAGTAACTACTATGCTTCTATTCAATATCTTTTCAAACAAATTAACACTATCTTGATATTATACTTAAGAGTAGAAGATACTATATTGAAATTATATATAAACTTAATAGAAAATTTTTTTATATTTAATTTTATAAAAAATTATATTAAGTAAACTCATATTAATTTATAAGAAAAGTTTGTAAAGCAGGTCTTTCTGATTTTAATAATAGTAAATTATTAAATTTGATTAAAAACTCAGTAAAATAAAGTTTTTTAAAAATTAGGTATAAAAATTTATTAATTAAATTAACTTATAAAGTTATATAAATTAACCAATCAAATTTAGTACACTTGTACTATTTAGAAAATTTTGAGCTATCTTAGAAAAACTTTGTAACATATACAAGTATATATTTTTTAAATATAATAATAGCTCAAAATTTGACTATAATAGATAAATTATTTATTTATATTTTGTAAAATTTTAATAAAAATTGGTTGTAACTTAAAAAACTATTATAAGTAATATATTTCAAATTTATATAAAAATTTTAAAATGCTATATAAAACTATATAAAAAAAATCTACATACTCTTTATCCTTAAAGAACTTATTCCTAAATCCTTAATTGATATTGTACAAAGCTTTAACATTTTATATAAACTAGTCTCATAAACAATTATTGCTATTCTGCTAAAAGTTAATAAACTTTTTTATGAACAAATATAGAAACTATATTATATAAACTTTGCTAACTAAAAACAATAACAAGAACTTAACTGCCTTATGCAGACTCTAATTTCAATTAAGCCAAAGCAATAGAAGAAACTCTAATTGCAGAAATTATACTTATTCTTGTATATATGAGCTATCTAATCAACTATGCTTCAATTCTAATATCTGTTTACCTATTGGCTACACTATTTGTAAAATCAATATCTGGATTATTTTTTATATCAAATACAATATTTCTTATAACATATTTTAAATTTACAAATCTAGATAAATCTTGACCACTCTAGTAGATTTAGATTACAGATAAATATGTCTAAGCTTCTATTCTTAAATGTAATTTTTCTTCTATTTGTATTTAAAGCAATAGTTATATAGTTAGCAGTTTAATGATTTAGTCCTAACTGCAAGTGTTGGTTTTAGCTATAGCATTTATATAGAAAATTACTCTATACATAGCAGCTCTATGTAGCTACTAACTTTTAAACTACCAATAAAAATATGAGTAAGGCCTTACCTTAATACCAAAAAAAAAAATAATAATAATTTAAAACAAAATATATAAATTATATTATGATGTTCAACATCACATCTTGTAAATAAATAATAAACTTGGATCTTCACTAGTGTTGCTATTAAATTTTCACTAACATTTATAATAGGACTAGATTTAGAAAAGTAATATTAAAATCACTTAAGGAATTTTTTAGTTAAAATGCAAAAGATAGATTTATTATGCAAATTTTTGAGAAGTAAGTAATTTTTGAAAAAAGAATATTTTGTTTTGACCTAAAGTAAAAATTGACAGTAATACTAAGATAGTTATAAACTAGGCCAATTAAACAAATTTTAAAAAATATACATATTATTTTGATTTGTAATTATATGTATAGTATATAATAGGTTGTTATTTTTTAAATAATAGTAATAATAACAATAATGCATAGTAAAGATAGTACAAATAACATGAATATAAGTCAAGAATTTTCTTTTATAAATTTTTTCCTTGCAGATTTCCAAAAATCAGCCTCTTGTGATGACCTTTATAATGCCAAAGAATTATATATGTACAGTTATCCTTGTGGTGCTAAAAAGTTTTCTGTTTGTAGTAGTCTTTATGGTACTGAAAAGTCTTTTATATGCATTAACTTTTGTAGTGCCAAAGAATCTTTTATATATGACCTTAATAGCACTAACTATTCTGTTGCCTACAATCTTTCTGTTGTTCATAACCTTTCTGTAGCTTAAAATCATTCTGTTGCCTATAAACATTTTGTTACCTATAAACATTCTGTCATTTACAGCTATTCTAACACTTACAACTATTTTGTTATCCATGACCATTCAATTGTCTATAACTATTTCAATAATATTAGTTAAGTTGTTCATAATTTTGATGAATTTGTAGTTAATTATCTTAATAAACAAGATCTTAATAAGGTTTCTCAAGAGAATGAAGATGGTACTGAATATGAAAATAAAACTAAAGCTGAAAATAGGCCATTACATCCAATTGCAGTTGGAAAGGATTTAAAAGCTAAAAAGAAGTTGATAAGTAAGTAGTTTTATAGTTAGATATAAAGTTGTGTATTATTACTAAGATGCTTTAGTTATAATAAGAATACTAAAGCCTTTTTTTCTATTAGTTAATTGAAATTACATGAATTAGAACTAAAGTTTGCATTTACAATTACTTACAGTAACAAGGATAAAAGTAATAATTTATTTCAGTGACATATCTATATTTGTACAAAAAGTTGGCTATATGCATTAAGGAAGAAAGCCCATACTAATAAAAGTTATAATACAGGGCATAATACTTGTAATTGCAAGTTTTACATTAATACTTATTATCAGAAAAAGAATAAACTAATTTATATAATTAAGGTTGAAGATCAGCATTATTATAAGCTTGTAAAAAATATAAATATTCTTTTATCACACTATAGAAAGCTTACTTTAATAATGTGTAATAATATAAAGTTACTAGTAGAAAGTAGTATAAAAGTTAGTATAATAATTAAAGTTTTACAATATAAAAATTTTGAACATTATATTCTTTCTGCAATGTCTATAATTATACACAATTTATTTATTGCCAAAATTATATTAAGAGTAATGCTAGTTTTGTGTAACTTGAATTAATGAAACAGAAGCAAGAAAACCCAGCCTTTCATATTAATACCTGATTTAAAGGTTAGAATAATAATCTTATAGAATTTTGCTTGATAAGACCATCTTAACAAAAGTTCTGAGTTCACTTTTATAATATTATGCATTTTGATACAATAGCCAAAACTAACTGCTATTCGATGATTTTATGTGTTTTGGTTTTTGTAGACAATCATAATCATTATCATCTTGCTGCCATCATTCTCTTTTTTGATAAAACTAAAAACAGTTTTGCATAGCTATTTACTAGCCTTTTTAATATAATGAGTAAATTAGCACTAAGTTTGCTTTATATTAATGCTAATTCCACTAAGATTGCTGTAATAAGAACTTTTTGGCCAATGACAAAGCATCAATTTTAGCTATTTTACATCAGAACAAATTTGGAAACCTATTTTATTAGCAAATATTGTAATGATAAGTAGTGTTATTTTTTTTTGCATTTTGTTATATTTGCAATATCTATATAGAATTGATTTTTGAAGAAAGATGAACTGCAATATTAAATAAATATGCCAATACTACCAATTATATGCGATGTTATTTTTATCAATGTCAGAAAATATAGGCTCTTTGTTTTATCCATTGTGCATTTAATATAGAAATACAAAGTACTTAGTATGTCAAATCTTACAATAAAATTATTAAAAACAATGTTAATAATAATTTATATTTTTGAAGCTTACATATTTAGTTAAAAGATTGTTATTAGTAGAAAGCCAGTTTATTGGTTATAATGAAGCTGTTAGTAAGCTGTCTGCAAGCTAAGATAAAGATTATCATGATTATTACTTTCAAAAAGTTGATATTTTATATTAATATTACTAACATCTATAATTCTTAAATTACAATGTTATAAAATAAACCAAAGCATACATTATTAGTATCAATTAACTAGTTTAGACTGCAAATATAAACAACAGATGTGTATAAAATATTGTAGCAACTTATGCTTAAATTAGTTTATGCTGAGAATTTAGAAGTTAGGCTATAAGTTTAGGTTTAAGGTTAGTTTAGAAGTTAGGTTAGGAATTTAGGTTTTGTATATTTTAGTAGATACTGTATTATAGATTTAAATAGAAATTTCAAATCTTAGCATAAGCTATCACAAGTATTAAGCATTTAGTTTTTATATATTTTGCAGCAATTTTATGTTTTTCTCTTTTTAAGGTTAGTTCAAATTCACCAAAAGATATACTTTTTAAGGATATGTTTGATGCTGCTTAATAGAACTTAATCAGCTAATCTTTGGTCTTAAAATAATAAAACTTTGTGAACTTTGGCATGTCTACTCTATTAGTAAGAAGAGTAAATATTTTGTTGTATTATATGATAATACTGAACACCTATGCATATGCCTAATATTAATAAACCATAGTCTTATATACTGTTATTTTTTTACTATCATGCTTGTATTTCTGAATGCTAAATTCTATATTGAACTTGTGCCAACACATTGGTATCAGGTTTGTTTGCATCAAAAACTGACCTGTTTGCTAAGCTAATAGTTTTAGCAATGTTATATAAGAAATTTGATATTGTTGATTCTAATAATTGTGTCAATGTTGATTTTTTACACTTGAAGAGTCTCTAGAGAACACACAGCTTTATATTTGAGGTTTATAAAAAGATAACTTGAAAACAACAATAAGAAGAAGAATTTGGTATCATAAAAAAAACTTTAAATCTAGCCATTGCAATGAGTAAAGTAAAGAAACTTTATAAACTTCATAAAAACTTTATTGCTAAAAATGAAAAATAAAATTGTAAATCAAGTTAGAAATAATAATAATATTGCCAAGTTTGCACTTATTATTAGTAATCTTATAAGTGTCAAAATAAAAAGTTAGCCCAAAGGATCAAATAATATAAATGCAGATATTAAGCAAAAAAGAAAGCAGATATATAGACATAATTAAGGTAACAAAGAAATAGGATTAGAAAACCTCAAAAAATATTAAAAGATGTAAATGTAAATATTAGTAAATCTAGTAAAAGTAAAGAAAAAAAATGTGATATTTGTAATAAAAAAGATCACAATACATGTATTTGTTCTAAAGAGAGTTAATATAATGCTATAATTGTTAAAGAGCTTTTATTTTAAACAATCCAAAGCAAATTGTATGAGTTTGATTTAATAAAATAATTTGTATTATACTGAACTTGATTTTTATAGTAATTAGATTTGAGTCATTTGGTTCAAATTGCTAAGTAAGTTGTGCTTTTGTAACTAGAGATTGAAATCTATTAATCATATAAAAAATTTATTTATAATACTAAACTGAATTAAGTTTACTCTATGACAAATAAAATTTTAGGTAGTTTCAATCTCTAATATTTCACATTTTGTTACATTTTGCATTATATATAAAAATACAATTTTTTTAAATTTTTTGTTAAACTCATTTATTGATTTGCATTATGTTAATATTATATGTTAGTAAAATTTAATTTAATATACATTTGATAAATTAAATCATTTTGTTTTTGCTTTTTTACTAATACTAAGCATTACCAAAAAAGATTTTGAGTTTTTTTGAATATATAATTTAGATATTCATTGTTATTTTATAGCTGTAAACACATTGCTAATACTTGGTCTTTTTCTTTAGACTTTTTTTAGAGTTTTTGAGCTTTCCTAAGAATTGTGAAGCTTATATTTTGTGAATTTAGAGCATATAGTTTTATTTCTTTATTATTTTTGCTTTTCGGATTGTAAATGTATTACTAATGCTTTTTTTTTTAAGCTTGCTAGAGAATTTTTAAAACTTTCTTAAAAACTATAAAGTGTATATCTTGTAAATTTAAAAGCATTGTTTCATTTTTTACTTGTAAATAAGTTACTAATATTTATTCTTTTGTTTAGGCTGTAGGGCACTTTTGAGCTCTTTTGAAAAATTGTGATATGAATTCAGAGTATATAGTTTTATTTCTCTGTTGTTCTTGCTTTTTGGCTTATTAATGAGTTACTAACTTGTTTTTTTTTTTATTGTGCATTTTTGAATCTTTTTGAAAACTATAAAATGTATGTTTTTGTGAATTTGAAAAGTAATAGTTTCATTTTACATTGTTTTTGCTTTTTGGCTTGTAAATACATTACTAATCTTGTTATTTTTTTTTGTTTGTCAGAATGTCTTTGAAAACTATAAAGCATTATCTTGTAAATTCAGAATGTAGAGTTTCATTTTTATATTGTTATTGCATTTAGCTTGGGATTGTGCTACTAATGCTTTTTATTTATTTTATTTTTTATTTTTTTTAGGTTTGTTAAGGCAACATTGAGTTTTTAAGAGAACTATAAAATGTATGTCTTACAAATTCGGAAAGTATAGTTTTATTTTTTTATTGTTCTTACATTTTTATTTGTAAATGAGTTACTAATGCCTGTTCTTTTTTCTAGGTCTGTTAGTGCATCTTTGAGTTTTTTGATTCATTTGCATCACAAAAATATCACATGACTACTAACAAATCTATGAACAGTGCTCTAAAATGACTTAGACAATGCATCTATAAAAATTATAATTTTTTACTAAGAATAAAGTAGCTTGTAGTTTAGGTTAGAAGGTTAAGGTTAGAACAATAGAGGTTCTATTGGTAATATTTTATAAAAATTATTTTTAATTAGACTGCAGAAGGTGGTTTCTTAGAAAGTTTTGTGTTATTTCTGTTTTTTTTATAAAAAAAATAGTTTTGCTTTAATTGTTTATATACACCTGATTTTGAAATTTGTTATGAGTTTCTTTAGAATTGGAGTTTTACAAACTTGAACTGAAGACACAAAATTGTCAACAGTTCAGATCTATGTCTATAAATTTTCTGATCTAAACAGTTTCAAATCTTTAATTAGACCTGATCCAAAATAAAATAATATATATTAATTGGATTCAGTCTAAGTTTTCAGATCAAATTGAGTTTTTTATGTTTTGATCTTATAAGTAACCTAATCCAAACTGTTTCATAAGAAACACTATTCAAAATTATATAAATAGTTTGTGATTAGTTAGAAGTTTTGTTTACAATTAATCATTGAATAATTAATAATCTAATTGGTTTGATCAAAATATATTATTAAACACTGGTAGTGTAATTTATCAATATCTATTATCTAATATATTATCTATATTGTTTTATTTTAAAACCTATATTTTAAAATAATAATTAGTAATAAATATATTATATATCAAATATCTAAATATTTATTATATTTGTTAGTCTGTTTAAATTTTATACTTATTTTTTTTTCAGTATTAAGGTGACCTCTTTGGTCCTAGCTTTTTATTAAAACTTATATCAAGTATATGTTTTATATAAACAAATCTATATTGAACTATCAGATGAGTATACAACTGGCTATATGTGTAACTTTTCTATATTATCTATTTAAAGAGTTC